CAGTTTTTAGTTGGCGATGGAAACGCTCAACCTTACCGTTGGCAGCTGGGTGGTAGGCTGTCATCAGAATGCGTGTTCAGCAAAGGAAATTCAGTAGCGTTTGGAAGAGTGCCGACTCAAACTGGGCACCACGATCAGTCGTAACCGTGGATGGGGCACCGAACATGGCGACCCAACGACTGACGAAGGTCTTCACGATGGTTTCAGCCTGCACATTCGGCAAAGGACTAGCTTCAGCCCAGCGGGTATATCGATCGACGCAGGTAAGGAGGTGGGTGAAACCATTGAATGGAGGCAAGGGGCCTACGACATCCAGGGGCACATAGCTGAACCGTGCGTCGGGATTGGGGAAAGAGCCCGGTTGGGACTTGTTGTGACGCTGCACCTTGTTGCGCTGGCAGCTCAGACACGACCGAGTCCAAGTTTTGACGTCCTTGTTCATGTCAGGCCAGGCAAACCTTTCCGCGAGCAGCTTTTGAGAGGCTCGGATCCCAGGGTGGGAGATTACATGCAAGGTTTGAAATACAGCTCGACGCATCGAAGCAGGCACGAAAGGGGGATGAAAGGGAGTTGTGACGTCACAAAGTATGGTACCAGAGCCGGCGGTCAGAGGAACGTCTTTAAGTTGGAGACCACTAACAGACTCGTCACCATGACAACCGACCCGCTGTTGCTCAGCCGCCATGGCGCAAATATCGATCCCGTGTGAGAGTTGGAGGGAAGACAGTGAGGGTCTGGACAGCTAATCAGCCATCTCATTTTTCGTGCCATCAACGTGGCGGATGTCGGTGGTGAATTGGGAGATGTAGTCCAGGTGGGCGAGTTCCCTCGGATTGCATTTGTCGGAGTGGGAACAAAATGCAAAAGTCAACGGTTTGTGGTCAGTGAAAACAGTGAATTCGCGACGTTCAAGGAAATGCCGGAAATGCTTCACAGCCAGGTAAATGGCAAGCAGTTCACGGCCAAAGGTAATTTAGCGTGTCTCAGCTGGTAAGAGCTTTTTGGAGAAAAAGGCGAGTGGTTGAGTCGAACCTGCAAGTTGTTGTCGAAGGACTGCACCTACGGCTACGGTTGAAGCATCTACCATCAGAGACAGCTGAGCTTCGGGATTGGGATGCGTGAGCAAGGTGGCATCTGCAAGGGAATTCTTGATTCTCTCAAAAGCAGTCGGTGCTTCAGCAGTTAGCTCGAGGGGACCTTTGGGACCAGAAAGCATGTTGGTGAGCATGAGGTCAGCACAGTTCGGTAGGAACCGGCGGTAAAAATTGACCATGCCTAGGAATCGCTGCAACTGTCGCTTGGAAGTTGGTAGAGGGAAATGACGAGCGGTTTTAACCATGGAGAGGAGGGGGCACAAACCTTCAGAGCCGACCTGATGGCCAAGGAACTCGAGTGAAGGCACACCCAACACGCACTTGGAGGGGTTGATGACAACGCCAAACTTCTCAAGGCGGTCAAATACCAAGGCAAGATGCTCTTTGTGTTCTTCTTCATTCCGACTGGCCACCAAGAGGTCATCAGTGTAGGCGTACAATAAGGGTAGGCCACGTAAGACATGGTCGATGAATCTCTGGAACGTTTGGGCGGCATTACGAAGACCGAAAGGCATGCGGATGAACTCGAAGAGACCGAAGGGTGTGGTGACGGCGGTTTTAGGGATTTCCTCAGGGGCGACTGGAATCTGATGAAAAGCACGCACCAGATCAATCTTTGAGAAAACCGCTTTGTCGAAAAGGGCTCCAGCAAAGTCCTGAAGATGAGGCACGGGGTACCGATCAGGAATGGTAGCGCTGTTGAGGGCTCGATAGTCGCCACAGGGTCGCCAGTCGCCTGATGTCGCCTTGGGCACCAGTTGCAGTGGGGACGTCCAAGGGCTCTCGGACGATCGAATTATTCCCAGTTGCAGCATGTGTTCAAACTCCGCCTTCGCCGCCTGGAAGCTCTCCGGTGCTAGTCGTCTCGGTCGAGAAAACACAGGAGGACCTGAGGTGCGGATATGGTGCAAAACATCATGTTTAACCTCACCACTGCGAAACTGGGGGTTAATTATTTTGGAGTGACTAAGAAGCAGTTGCCGAAAGGGACTAGCAAGATCCTTATCTATGACAGATAAGTTGATGGGGGCAGTGAAGGGAGTTAGTCCACAAACAAACAGACCGGTTGTGCGGTCGAGGAGACGGGCACGTCGACAGTCAACAAGGAGGTCGAACTCGGCAAGAAAGTCCGAGTCGAGGATTGCATGAGGGACATCAGCAATCACAAAGATCCAGGTGAATGACCGACGAAGGCCAATGTTCAGGGTGAGGGACAGACTACCAAAAGTGGGAATGGGAGAACAGTTGGCAGCTTAGAGGTGAAGACCAGGGCTAGGGAAACGACGATCAACTGCAGTTGGTGGAACAACGCTGATTTGGGCTCCAGTGTCCACCATGAAACGTCTGCGAGTCGCAGTGTCGCAAACACAGAAGGTACGGCCAGAGCCGGAAGAGCCAGATAAAACGGTCGCATCTATTCTCTGGCTGACTGGTTTCCCTGTTTCGGTTTAAAAGAGCACGGTGAAAAACAGCGACGGGCCTTTACGCCGAAATTAGTGTAATAGCAACAAGTATCGGCAGTCCGAGGTCGCGAACGAGAACGAAGACGGTTGCGTGAGTGACTGGAAGTAAGGCGGGCGAGCTGTAGTTTAAGGGAGGCCATTTCATCCGCCATGGCCGACACCTGCTTCATTAAATGCTCATTCACGGACGATGGGGATGAGGAGATCTGGGCAACGGAAGGCGACTGGAACCGCTGCACCTCTATCATTCGATTCGCCATCTCAGCCAGCTGTGAGACCGTGAGATCTTGAGAACCGGACGCCAAAATCGTTTGAACATCTGCAGGCAGACGCTCTATAAACATCTCCTTGACGAATTTATCGTCAACCTGCGTGTCTCCAAGGAGAAAACGCATTAGACGTAGTTCTGAGGGTTTCCGGTCACCCAGTGGCTCCTTAATTAACTGATGATACCGCTGTCGGTCGGACACAGAATTAAATCGAAGAATTTCTGCCTTTAGCGTGGAATAGGGAGCATCTGCAGGAGGATTTGATAGCAAGGACTGAACTTGAGAGATGAGACTAGCGGTGAGGACCTCCACAAGTTCGTGGTATTTCGCCAGCTCCTTGGTAACGTTAGCAGAATAAAAGGCTGATTCGATGCGGAGGAAATAAAATTCTGGAGCGTGTTGCCAGAATTCAGTCAAGATAAAATTGATGGCATGAAGGGACTGGGCGGGGGCATCAAGTTGTTGATTGGAGTGAGACATAATAAGACAGAGATGGCAAAATATCAGAATTCGTAAGGAAAGTAAATGTAAATGAAATAGAAACTCAGAAACAAGTATTACGTTATTCAGTATGACATAGAAAGGTATAAAGTCTGCGTTAACGTCAGGGTCACCAAGGACGTAGATGGTAATGTTCTCACGAACTAACAAGTTATATCTCACGAGCCCCTAGACTTAAAGGCCGCAAGTAAAAACTGAGCAGTGAATAATATAGTGATTTTGAACGTTAAGAAACCTGACAACAGACCACAACAGCGGAGCACGCTAGCAAGGCGGGTTGTACAGGTGTGTTGTTTTCCGTCACATTCAAACAAGCAATCTGGGCAAAGAAAACAGGACTTAATTGTCAAAGGTAAATTATTCCGGTACCTCAGCACAAGGCTACGTCCTGAACACCGCAGGAGGCCACAAGCTTACGGTGATGTTGTAGGCCCTCCTAAGCCAACTCGGGTCGTTCTTCCACTACATCAAAGCCGCGGCCTAAAGTGGAGTTCGGCAGCGCCTTACACAACTGAGCAGCCCTAATTGGGGTGACACTGCTCACTCCCGTGAGGGGGAAGGGGCTGGAAAATGTACCCTAAACAAATGCTGAGAAACGACGCCATCTGCAGGCTGACCGTGGTCGCAGACGTTAGACTCAAGGTCTCCTTCCCCTCCTTCCCGCCGCCCTACTCGCCTACTACTCACGGTCGAAGCAATCAAAATCGAAACACCACACACTCTGTCTCTCTCCCACTTCCTACTCCTCCCCGCCGCCCCACTCGCCAGACTGATAGGGTGAGTCCGCTTACTCTGGCATCCTGGAATGTTCGTTCGTTATTAGACAACCCAAGGAGCAACCGACCGGAACGGAGAACGGCGCTAGGGGCTTGGGAACTGGCGCGCTGCAAGGTGAACATCGCAGTACCCAGCAATACCCGGTTCTCCAAACAAGGCAAAATGGAGGAGGTGGGTACCGGCTACACCTTTTCCTGGAGCGGTCGCCTCAAGGCAGAGTGATGGAACGCCGGTGTCGCCTTTGCCATCCAGAGCAACATCATGGGACATCAGCCCTGCCTGCCGCAGGACATCAACGATCTTCTGATTAGTTAACGTCCGCCTCTCCGAGGAGGCAAATTCGCAACCATCATTAGCGTGTAAGCTCCACCGATGACCAGCCCTGACGCCGCAAGGGACAAATTCTACGAGGACCTGCATGCCCTCCTGACGACTGTTTGAAGGCGGATAAGTTATTTTTTTGGTGACTTCAACGCCTGCGTCGACGCAGACCGTGCGGCCTGGAGAGGAGCGCTAGGTCCCCATGGTCTCGACGGCTCCAATGACAATGGCCTGCTCCCTCTACGAACCTGCGCAGAACACCGCCTCATCCTGAATAACACTTTCCTTCTCATCCCGATGTAGGAGAAGGCCACTTGGGTGCACCCTCGGCACCTGCTGAACTATGTCTTCGTCCGGAAGCGACATCAGCGGAAAGTGCTGGTGACAAAGGAGATCCCGGGGGCTGAAGGGAAGGCCGGCCATCGTCTCGTCATCTCGAGATGCGGATTCGCCTACAGCCTCGCAGGAGACTTCCAGGTAAGCGATCCCCAGGTAGGCTGAATATTGCTTTGTTGTCTCGTTCTGCTCACCATCTCCGTTGCAACAACGAGCTAGTTCAGCGGCTAGACAGCCTTCTAGTCGCTGCCGCCGCTGACAAAAACGCCTCCGTTGAGGACCGATGGTGTCAACTGCGGGGCACAGTCCAGTCTAGGGCGCTGGTCGTCCTCGGTCACGCACGCTGCCTGCACCAGGACCGGTTCGACGACAATGGCTTCGTCATTATCAGCCCGCTCGACAAGAAGGACCGCCTGCACAAAGCCTACGTCGACCGCCCCATCGATGACAACGGAGTTGCTTTCTACTGTGGTCGCTGCCTTGTAAAACCGCGGCTCCGTGACATGCAGGGCGCTTGAACGGCTCACAAAACCCAGAAGGTCCATAGGTACGATGACCGCATAGGTCAATGCTGTCTATGGTCTCACAACCATAGACAAATGCTCCTCTCCTCAGTGCCGACAGCAGTACCCTACTCACTGAGAAGACACAAAATCTTCAGAAATAGGCCGATCACTTACGAGGCTTCCTCAACCGTCCCTCCACCATCTCCGACGCCACCATCGCTTGTTTGCCTCGAGTGGAGACCAGCGTGGACCTCGACCTCCCGCCCTCTCTCCACGAAACCATCAGGGGCGTGCTGCAGCTCTTCAACGGGAAAGCGCCCGGATCGAACGCGATCCCTGCTGTGATCTACAAGCACGATGACCCCCAACTCATGGATCATCTGACGACGTTCTTCCAAGAGATGTGGTGTCGAGGTGAAGTCCCGCAGGATTTAAATGACGTCAAAACTGCCTATCTTTATAAGCGGAAAGGCAACCACAAGCTCTGCGACAACAACCCAAGCATCTCTCTTTTGAACACTGCCGGGAAACTCTTTGCTCGCATTCTTCTCAATCGTCTGAACAACCACCTAGAACAAGGTCTTCTGCCGGAAAGCGAGTGCGGCTTTCGTCGTCATCGTGGGACCACGAACATTATCTTCGCTGCCCCACACAACTGTAGGAGAAGTGCCAGGAGAGACGGACTCACCTCTACTCTACCTTCGTGGATCTGACAAAAGTCTTCGACACGGTGAATCACGAAGGACTTTGGAAAACCATGCAGAAATTCTGTTGTCCCGAACGATTCACCCAGATGGTGCGTCAGCTCCACGATGGTATGGTGGCGCGCGTCACGGACAACGGAACTGTCTTAGAGATATTCGAAGTATCACACGGAATAAAGCAGGATTGCGCCCTCTTGTCAACGCTCTTCAGTCTTATGTTCTCTGCCATGCTGATGAACGCTTACTGTGACGAATGTCCCGGGATCCCTATGGCTTACGGGTCGGACGGTCACCTCCTCAACCACAGGCGCATGCACTTCCAGTCGCGTGTATCCACAACCACCGTCCACGAACTCCTCTTCGTCGGCGACTGCGCCCTTAACACCACCTCTGAGGTGGACATGCAAAGGAGCATGGACCTCTTCGTCGCCGCCTGCGAGAACTTCGGCCTGATCAGCAACACTGAGAAGACGGTGGTCATGCACCAATCGCCACCCAACACTGCCCACAATGCGCCGCAAATCACCCTGAACGCGACCCAAATGCAAGTGGCGGATAACTTCACGTATCTGGGCTGCACCCTCTCCCGCAGCACCAAAGTCGACGACGAAGTGGCCCGCCGTATTTGCAAAGCCAGCGGAGCCTTCGGCCATCTGCAGAACACCGTCTAGAACCGCCAATGCCCCCACATCAGCATTAAATTGAAGATGTAAAAAGCAATCATCCTGCCGACGCTCTTGTATGAGGGGAGATCTGGATAGCCTACAAGAAGCAAGCGCGGAGACTCAAGCACTTCCACCTCAGCTGTCTTCGACGGATACTGAAGCTGAGGCGGCAAGACCGAATTCCCGACAAACGTACGGGCGGGAATTCTCAGCATCTACGTAATGCTGAGACAACTGTAATTGCGTTGGAGCGGCCACCTGGTACGCATGGACGACGAGCGGCTACCCAAACGACTCTTCTACGGAGACGTCGTGATGGGTTCTCGTGGCCAGGGAGGCCAAATTCGTCGATACAAGGATACTCTGAAGTCCTCCCTGAAGCGCCTGCAAGTTAACCTGATCAACTGGGAAGACCTCGCTCGAGACCGACCGACTTGAAGGAGGGCAGTGAAGACAGACGGAACGATCTACGAGGCAAACCACATCGCCGCCGCGAAAGCAAAACGAGAAGCCCGCAAATCTCAGATGCGTCTACCTCGCAACGCAAACGCCCAACCGCCCCACAATGTGTCCACGATGTCAGTGGACATTCCGGACGCCAGTTGGACTTGTTAAACACCTTCGGACCAACTGCAGCACTCGGACTACGCCAACCGTCGTCTCTCCGTTCACCTCTCCCTCGCCTACTACGAAATCAACTAACTCTGACCGCTCTCCCGAACCACCACTTCCATCTTCCTCCTCCTCCTCATCTTCCCCTACCGCTTCAACGTCTGTCGTTGTGGCGTCTGCCACGCACATCAAAATGACACGCAATGCTGACATACCAATAAACGCCAACACCATCACCGTCGACTAGTCCATAACAAGCATCTGCATACACACGAATGAGTTGATTTACGTCTGGGCCTCTGTTGACAACTCACTCTGGCGACCGCATGCTAGAGCCCGCGCAGCCACTTCACTTCCTCCTCCCTCACCGTCTCAAAGTCAGCCGCTGTGGCGTTTGCCACGCGCATCAACATTAGACGAAATCCTGACACACCAACAAACCCCAACACCACCGTCGACACCAGTGGTGAGGACCCGGTCTATGCCTCTCCTCATTGCGACTGCACCTTCACCTAGCACATCGGCCTGGCCGGTCACTTGCGAAGTCAGCGCACAGAGGCTGGCGATCCAGTGCCTGGAGCACCAACCTACGCCCGCCTCATTCGTCACCACTGTCCATAATGACCTCACACATTCATGCGCCGCATGGGCCTATTCGACCACCTGCGTGTCCACGAGAGCGGAGTTGGCCGCAGCCCTGATACACCCAGTACACCTAGCTCCGCCCACGCTCCGCAGACCAGCGTACTCACCGCCACCATCTCCAGAACACTCAGTACATCTTGCACACCCATTATGCTCAGCCCAACCCACACCCCATCGCCCAGCGCGCCCACCACCACCGAAGCTGGGACCGACACCGCCGAATATTCATGTCCACACTGTCCACGCACATTTCCCTCACGCATCGGAAGGGTCGGTTACTTGTGAACCCACCGCACAGAGACTGACGACCCAGTGTCTGGAGCACCAACCTACGCTCGCCGAACCCATCTCCAGTGCCCACATTAGACTCGCACATTAATTCACCACATGGGTCTATTAGGTCACATGCGCATCCACGAAAACCTGGGGTAGACTACCGCCGGCTGCATCACACTACCATATCCTCCCCCACCAGCATCTCACCGCACATCATTCTCACTCACCTCAAACACCCAACCGCCATTTTCCGCGCAAGTGGGAAGCATGCGTCTCGGCTCATCCTCTATGAAGCCTCCCAGCCGCATGAGTGGTCGGAGTCCGAGACTGTCAAGGTTCTTCGAGCGCCGTGACTCGGAAGGGAGCCGACTGACACCCCAACTCAGGCCTTCCAGTTGTATGTTTATGTTGTGTGGAGTTACGGACTGGCGGGCTGAGAGCCAAGCAGAAGCGGCTCCTTCTCCAACGATCTGTGACACTCTCATGTAAGTGAGGAGTGTGTGTACTGTATGGGTAGCGCCTCTCAGTGGACGACTCAGTCGAAGACGGTTTGGTTACCTAATCTTGAAGGGTGATGGATCATGCTACATGCAGGACCACGCGTCGCCCTTCTAGGTCAAAAGGTCTGTATGGCCCTCACAGCCTGGCATGCGCAGGCAGTCCCCCGACATCTGGTCACTGCCGATAGATGCGTTTGTACTCCCGCTAGGTACACAGGTGATGGGCATGAGTGCACAGTCATCCTTGACGCTCTGGCCCCCTGTTGGGGTGCTGTTGTTACTGCTGTTATTGTTGGTCAAAAATCTGGGCATTCGCTGTGTGGACCAGGGGATGTGAAGTTAAACGCCGAGGTGCAGGCTCAAGCGCACCATCCGCCTGCGCCTTCCCCGCCTCCGGTCTTCTTGACTCTGTCTTGACACCGGATCCACAGGGGGAGGATAGGAGAGTGCGTTAGATACATCGAAAGTCCGCCACCACTATAAACTAATTCACGCACAAGTCACTGTTCTTGCTCCATCTTGCTGTGGAGCCCACGGTGGACATCGTCGAACCCGGCGGCCGAATTATTGTTGACAGGACGTTGAGTGTTCTCATCGGCGGTTGGAGTGGGAGAAGTGGTAGTTGACGGATTGACTTGTAGTTTCTTAAGGG